GACATTTGTTTTGAGGATTTTAGTTGTCCAGTATAGGGATTTTGACCCAGTGTTTTGTCTTCTGTATGTAGCCTTACGGTAGGTCTACTTCAGATTTGTGCTTAGGTTTTCAGTTTTATGGGTTCAATCCATTGGCTTGAGGGCACAGACTTGTCAGGCTGTGGATTCGGGACTGGTGTTGTTATGTCGTAGCATTTCCAGATGTGGGGGTCGTTAGGGATTTAAAGCCTTGAGCGAAACAGTGCCAAAGACATTGTTGTTTGAGTTTTCGGATTAGCTACCCCAACTCTCGTGGATGCTTGGTTCCCGTAGTGCTTTTGGTAATCATTCTTAACATTGACGTCATTTGTATTGAAAAGCTTTTTTTTGGGTTGACCTATTATGGCATGTTATGAACTAGTACCTTATACTGTCAAGCTACCTTATTGACGAGTAAGTGCAGGCGGGTTCTGGTCATTGTTCGTACTGCCATATCATTCTTAGCCATCTGTCTTGATTCGACTTGTCATTGTCATGGGGATTCTCTCAGTGATTGACTTTGGGTCAATATGCCGATTCATTTGGGAGGAGTTATTCAGTTCTTGGTTTTCGCGTTCCTTCGGATAATCTTCAAGATTTTGGAGTTGTCCTTTAGCACCTTATGATCTGTCCTTCAGTTTGACTTTACTTTGACCTTGTTTGGTTTTCTTTTGTCTATTATGAATTTCGGGGACGAAATTCCTTTAAGTAGGGTAGGTTGTAATGACCCGATCATTTTCCTTCCTTTCCTTTTCCCACAAATTTCACGGATATTTTTTTTTCGTTCATCTTTTCTTTTCTGAGTTCGGTTTCTTGTCACTTAGTGTCATCTTGAGTGCTCGGGAATGGTTTCCAAGACTCTTTCTTTTATATTGACAACTTCCTTTAAGGACCGAGTCATTTTCACTTTTGTGACACTATTCCCTTTTGTCTTTTTCCCGTTGTCACTTTGTTGGCACAACTTCACTTTTTGTGTTTGGATTTGATTCTAGTTTTGCATGCATCCACGATATTTAAATTCCATGCCATGTGTATTTTTACTTTTGTAGAAAAATATGATAGTCGCTTACTTTTACATAAGGGGGTATGGATGCATACTTCTTTGCATTTTTTCTTTCTTTTTGGGGTTTTACTGTAATTATGTAAAGTAATTATTTTTCATCTTAGGTACCATTTTACAATTTGATTTTGAAGATATTTTCAAAAAGGATATTTTTGTAATTTTTGGAAAGTGTGACAAGTGTCACACTCTCATGGAGCGACTTGTTGGCATTGGGGTGGAGAGACTTGGAGGCATCATCTTGTGACATTTGGAGGGTGGAGATTCACCCACTTGTTGGCCTAGGATTAGTGCACTTGTTGGCTTGGATGGTTGACAAGTGTAGGCTTAGGATTAAGCCGACAATGGATGCTTGGATGAGTGACAAGTGTATGCTCCAAATTAAGTCTTGCAATTATTTTTGGGTTACCTTGGGATTATGTTGTTAAAGAAGGGCTTTTGTGTAATTGAACAAACTAGTGTGTGTTGACCTTGGTGTAAGACCACATAGTGAGTAGAGGATTTCTATTTCCTCCACTCACATTCTTTCACACTTGATTTCATCATCTCCCTCTCTTGTAAAGAAAACCTTAGCCTCCATGGATGGAGCTTGGAGCTTTAGGCTTAACCTTCATTTTTGAGAGCCTTCCATTGATTTCCAAGCTTGACCATGGGAATGCCTTTTGTTCCCTTTATCTTCCTCTTCATAACCCTAGAAGGGTTTACCATTTTGAGTTAGCTTGCCTTGGATTCAATAGGAACAATCTTCTTGTGAGGTCAGGGATGTTTTAGGATTTTGTATGTGTTGTATTGAGTGTTTTTCATGATTATACAACTTGTTTGCATGCCTAGTATCAAATCTAGAATATTAGTAATATCTATTTCTTTGTATGAGATTTATTTTACAAGGATGCATATAGCTTAGAATTGAATTTTTGGCATGACGATAAATTATGCTTTGATGTTCTTGTAAACATATATTAAATTGGAATTATTTTAATAAGAATTGCACTTTTTATTTAATAATTATCTTTTACGAAAGTTTAATTCTCATGGATTTACCTTGCATGAAATTAACTTGTGTTATGCTTTTAAATTAAGTCTTGGCATGTTCATTAACATACTTTAATTTGATTGTATTTGGATAAGTATGAAAATCAAGAGATTTTATTTAAAATGATTAATTGAAATCTATTTAGTGGTTTCATTAGCCTAATTAAGTTTTCAACTTGATATTTGTGATGACTAGGACTTTCATACCAGCATATGTTAATTTGGGTCCATTTGATGTCATTTTAGAATTTAAGGATTTGATTATCATGATTTAGTTAAATTCCATTTTTATTGTTCAAATAGCCTAATCAAGTTATTAAATTGGTATATGCAATGACCCTGCTATGTTGTTTAACATGTGTTAATTAGAGGCCATTTGGTTGAGATTTGAAACTTAGAGAAATTAATTTTACTTGATTAATTTCTGTTTCTATTACATTATTGATTTAAATCATGTGTTTAACGTTGGTATTATGTTTAAAGCTTGATTTTAGACTTGTATTAGATTCCTCAGTTCATGTTTTCATTATTGAATTATATTGTTATAGCGTGTAACGAATCGCATACTAAAGATTCAATATGTGATGTTATTATACCGTGTAACGAATCACACTCTGAAAATTCGACATTGTCATCCTATAGTAGTTGTGGATTTAGAGCTTGTATTGTGTGGTTTCAACTTATTTGTGCATGAAGGTAGTTTCGTGTACTATTTAAAACATATATAAGTTGTTAACTTATCCATTTTGAAGTCACTTGGGACATTGTTACTGAGACATGGCTAGAGTTTGGCTTTAGTATGGGAGATAGAGAGCTCCCTACAATATAGTGCGCATGGGGTGGTATTCCCAGCGGGTTAGTACCCAGAATAACCGTTTAGATCTTCGTTCACGCCGGGATTTACTATCCAAGTCTCCACTATTTGATTTCAAACTTTTAGATTTCTAGTTGATAACTTAGAAAATCTATGTCTTGATGTGTGGTATTAGAAATTCTAATTATACTAAATTACTATATTTAGTTGATTTCGCACTTTTAGATTTCAAGTTGATAACTTTGAGAATATATATCTAGTTGCTTTGTATAGCATGCTTCTATATTGGTTAAATTGCATGGAGATGGTGATTTGTGTTTTGTATTTTAAATGTAGCTTAGGAATGATCCTATAGATTCATTTGGAACATAGACATTAGGTGGCATGACCCACTTTTGTCGTTTTTATGTATTAGGTTTCAAGTTGATGACTTTGAGAACTTATGTCTTGTTACCTTGTATAGCATGCTTCTATGTGGTTTGAATTGCATGGATGATGTGATTTATGCTAGAAATGATCTAGGGTAGCTTAGGATGCTCCCTGAGTCTCACCCTTGACATAGATGTTAGGTGGCATGAGCCCTTTAACATGTTTCACCTTTAGGTGATAAAATTGTAAAATGCTAGGTCGATGCATGCTCATTTCCTACGAGTAGCTTTATGTTACTCACCCACGTAGTGGGGACATTTTTCAGGTACAAGGATCAAGGTTGGGGTTCTCATTATGCTTGGATGATTTGAGGACTTGAAGGGTTCAATCCTTGTGTAGGTTTGCTTGAAATGCTACTTGCAGCTTTATATGTCAAATGTCTATATTTGCTTCTAAACTTGTAATATGTACCTAAGCACACTTTTTTATTCTCATTTTATATATATGACATGAAGCCAAGGGCCAAACTTCCTTTGGAATTACATATATATCATGGATGTTAAATCTTGCCTTTAATGAGAATATATGAAAACTATGCGTTTTAATATGTCATTTTGCACCGGAGCTTGCATTGTATATAAAATTCATCCATTAGCAATCATTTATCGTGTATGAAGTGTGGCCAAGGGCCAAACGGTAATTTGCAATCATTTGTTAATTTTGGTTTTCAAAATTTCCATTCTAAGTTCATTTTTGCTTTTTGGTTGTTGGGGGGTTGGATTTTGCATTGGCGGTATTCTTAAGCCATGATTCATTGTAGCGCGTCCAAATATGTAAGTTACGTCAGCGTGTATGGTCGTTTCTGGGAAAAACTCCTTCCTTGATGAAATGAGCCTCCTATGGGCTCATTTTGCATTTTCTTTTGCAAAAACTGTGCATAAGGGCATTTTGGTGTTTTCACATGAAAAATAAAGTTTTCTTTTGGCATGGTAATTTTTGGGGAGGGGTTTCTTCTTTGTGTTTTTTTAAAAAAAGGCCCTGAAAGTCCTAAAAATCACATTTCAAATTCAGAAATCTGCTAAGCTTGTTGCAGAATGACCGCTCCAAGGGGCGTACGAGCACTCCAATGTTGGACAGAAATCTCGGGGCTATTTATGAGCGATCACTACAACAGTTTTGGCTTTTACCAACACTCAAAAAAGCTAGTAAAAGCCTTAAAAAGCGCTGGTAATTCAATTACCAGCTTACCAGCGCTTCTTTAAAAGCGCTGGTAAATCCAGCGTCAGTAAGGCTTTACCAGTGCTTTTGGAGAAGCGTTGGTAAGTGGCTTTTACCAGTGCTTCTCCAAAAGTGCTGGCAAATGGCTTTTACCAGCGCTTCATCAAAAGCGCTGGTAAAGCGTATTTTCCAGCACTTTTTGAGAAGCGCTGGAAAAACGTATTTGCCAGCACTTTTTCAAAAAGTGCTGGTAAAGGGCTATTTTATTTTTATTCCCCCCCATGCCAGCGCTTCTTAAAAGAGCGCTGGTAAAGGGTTATTTAATTTTATTTTTTTTCCCCTTATTGTTTTTGGGAAAAAAAATCTTTACGGCTACTAATGTCATCCCAATAACACAAGTCTATAAAAATACCACCCAAATTGTTTCCATAAGTTAAACCTACTGCCAATATGAAATTGTTTTTAAATAGTACTATCGAAATAGGGTAGTAAATGTCAACCAAAAAGCGAAAATGTTATACAACCACAAGTTAACCTGCCAATATGAAGATACAATCCAAATTGTCTAGATAAAGCTACTAAATGTCACATAAAAAGAATTAAGAATTTTGACAAATGTAGTACAAGTTTTTCAAAAAGAACCCATCCACGGCGAAAGAAATTCAAAAAGCACATCCACTCCCCCATCTTCAGCTTCAACTTCAACTTCAACTTCAACAAGTCTTCTTGCCCATTTGATTTGAATTACCCTACATTTTTTATAAATTCATTAAGCGCACATTATAATAAATGGAAACTTAACATATAAGATAAATTAAAAAAGTTCATAACCTTAACTGAATTGGCATCATGACTAGAAAACGAATTTGGAGGTCTAAGAGGAGCATTTAAAGAATCAGAACCCTTCAAAATAACAAAACAAAATACATGAAATCTTGGCATAAGTAAACATATATTTAGTAAATAATAAAACTAATAATAAATATACCTGTCCACTACAATTTTGTTGTTGCATTTGCATTAGTCCAACCATTAGTTCTCACTGTAAAAGATTGTTCATTATTAAAGTTTCCCTATTTTTCCTATCAAGTCCTTGGATTCTAATTATAGAGAAAAACTACAAAATTGGGAGTAGTTAACATTTACTAAAATGTTTTGTTCTATGATCTGTATTGAAATTTTAGGTTCACTGGTTTTTTCTCTTTCAATTTTGCCTTTTTCTATATATGATAGATTTCTAGAATGATCAACAGGTCAATGGAAAAGCCCAACATAATAGAAGTAGAACACTAGTTTTGAGTTCTCTGATCAACAACAGCATGACTACTTTGGCAATAATGTATTGTTCATTGATTGTTGACAGTTCTAAGATGAAATGTTATATACTATCTGAGTACGAGATAGAGCTCTAACTGATACTTTTTTTTTTTTTCTTTTCTTCTAAGCTTAAGGCTTTTCTGGGAGTAATTATTGCTCATATATGAATTAATTATGTTTGATGTGTAGTTGGCTCTATAGCTTTATCTATGTTCTTCTAACATAGCCCTGGTGTTTTCAATATAAGAAAATTATAAATCCTACTAAATAGAGGAGCCATTGTTTTAAGCTTAAAATATAGTCATTGAAGTTTGCTCATGACTCTGCATACCAGTCAACATGTTTCACGCACACGCACACACACATTAGCAGTCAGATTTTGTATTTTGGATTAATGAACATGTGAGAAATAGAGGAATGAACAATGATTATTGATGTGTGTGTGTGTGTGTGTGTGTGTGTGTAAAGATTTATGTTCTGATATAGTGAATCAGAATTTAACTACAAGGAGGAAGTTCCTCCTTACATGAACGGGCATGGACAAGTGACAAGGCTAGCACAAAATCCATGGAGAAACTTTAAACCTACCTACCAAGGATCCAAATCCATCCACTGCCCCACTAGTTCTCCCCACAAAGGAAAGAAAAGAAAAGAAAAGGATTTAGATTTTCATGCCAACCAAACAATCATAGGAACATGAACACTTTGAAAGTAAAATGCAAACAAAGGACCCCCATTGATCCTATATGATAATAAAATTTCAAGAAACAAAATTAAAAAAATCCTTTTCCCTTACATCAAAGGGTCCCACCCCAAGTCCCCATTTTGGCCCCTATCAATCCCATTTTTAGGTTAATGGCTGATATTCAGTTGTGTCATATTTTTTCATCAAATAAATAATGACTAGTGATTTTTTTTTTTTCAGTATACAGTTGAATGTTCTATATCTCAGCTGTAGCATTTTATGATCTGTCATGTAAATTTTTTAGTGTCTAAGAATTGTAGAGTAGTAGCATGTACTTTCTTATTTTGTCCTACCATCATTTTCGGATAGTTTTGTTTTTTTGTTCTACACTTTTAGAGAATGATATGTAATGAAACACCCAAAATTTATCATTTCTTTCTATAACTAAAGATGCTGAGAAAGTTATATCTACAAGATTCATCATGTTTATTTATGCATTTCCAAATGATGAAATATGTGAGTGCAGTAAGTTACAGTGATTAGAAAATATTTCCTTCTTGAACACTATGTTTCAAAAGTGCTAGAAGCATAAAATTGTAACTTTTTTTTTTTTCCTAGTAAGCCATAAAATTGTAACTTCATTGCTTCATTGTGCATGTGTGTGTGTGAGACACAGAGAGTGATTGAGAAAGAAGTAGTTAATGTCACAATCTGAAGTCAACTAAGAATAGAGAAGCGAAGTATAGATTTTAAAAGTGAATTCATAGGAGCGAACATGAAAATTTATGTTGGATACTTGAAGTATAGATTTTAAAAATAGAGAGGGGAATTTAAATGAAAATTTTCGAACTGAATATTTAATTTGGTCAATATAGGCTGGGGCTAGAAACCTACTTTCAAAGGTTAATGGCTGCTCAGAATTACTTCCGTCTATTACTTATGGTACAACTTTTTAATGTACTTTTTAGAAAAGGAAAAAAGAAACAGAAAAAAACATGTTTCTTGGTTGTATGACTTGTATTTTGGCCTTATAAACTAGCAAATGTTATCAGTTTATGGTGTAACATAGGGATGACCAGCTCTTTTGTGGACGTTCAGTCATTATGGTGGTGCATGAAAACATGTATGTGCTATGTATAAACTACAACACATAAAATTAAAACCCAAAAATTAACATCACAATACTAATATGTTTGTTCTAAATGCATTTTATATGATTATAGATTTCAATCAACAAGAAGCCTCCACATACAATGATCCTATACTCCCATGCTTTTCAACAAATACAAGAAAGTAAATTGCCTCCACACGGGCCGATGATAAATAATGAAATTAAAATGCCTCCACACGGGCCGATGATTTAAAAATTGGTCACTTCAAGGCATGTGACCCCCTAATACACCGCGAAGAGTTTAAAAATTGGTCACTTCAAGGCGCGTGACCCCCTTTTTGCAAAATGGAAGCATGAAAACTTACAATCATCTCCGAAGCAGCAGCATCAGTAGCACGTCACCCCCTTTTTGTTCACTCACTTTTTCCACTTCACTACCCGTTCATTTCATTGTAAGCTTATTCTTTATCCTTTCTGGAAAAGCAAACAAAAAAGTGAGAATTCATTTAAGAGAATGCAATCAAATTGTTAAAAAAAAAAGCGGTGCACAATCCAAGAATCTTTTAGGTTTGTACAACTTACCATCTTGAATTTTTTCATCATTTTTATGGATTATTAACACCATAAGCTTTAGTGCTTCACCACTTTTGCAAAATTACATGATGGATTTTACAGTTTTTACTATTTCTACAGGTGAGTAAAAATAAGTGATCGAGGTGAAATTCACCATCCCGTGAAATTTCACACAGCATGAAACTAAAAAAAAAAATTAATAATAATAATAATTTCTTGGTGAGAATTTTGATTCTTTGATGTATTCATCTTCTAAAACCTTAAAAAAAAAAAAAAAAAAAAAAAAAAAAAAAAAAAAAAAAAAAAAAAAAAACATATATATAAAAAGAAGCAAAGCTTCTAATGTACTCTGTCCATCCCATAATTGTTGTCCACATTGGGATGGAGAGATAGTAATAGAGAAGTTAGTTACAGAGTGTGAACAACATGATTCGTGTTAGTTATATAAGTAATTATTATTTTAAAAAAACCAAATTTTATATAAGTAATTATTTACTTTCCTTATCTTGTCTTGCAATAGTATTATATTTCTCCCATTTTCCTGTAGGAACTCTTATGCAATTTAACAAAAAAAATAAAAATAAAAAAGTAACACTCTTATGCATTAACAGAGGCTAATCAGACTAGTCCTGTGGGCTCTAGAGAATTGTTGGTAAAATGTTTGGAAAGTAGAAGGTTGCTTCAGTTGGAGATACTTGTGTTGAGAAAGGAAAGGAAAAGAAAAGGGAAAAGGAAAAGGAAAAAAATAAAATAAAATGATTCCATATTATTTTTCAACATTTGCTTTAATGTCCTTTCTTGTCATGGGTCCCTTCTCTTTAAGAGAATGTCTTACATAAATATATAGAAAAATTGCATTCTTTTGTTGAGGTGACCCCAATGCATGAAGCCATAAATTGAGCTTGTTAAGTGAAGAATGAATAAGCAAAAGAAGAAAGAAGAAAGAAAAAAAAAAAAAAAAAAGGAACACCAACTAATGATATCCTTATGTGAGAAATCATGAAGTGGGTATGTGTCTATCTTGTGTGTGTGTGTGTGTTAGGAGAGATGAATGCTATAAATTTTTAAATCTTTTCATTTTTTCATTTATGTTCAATAAGCACATAAAACACATACAGATTCTAATATTCAATAAGAAATTAGTATATAGTTTATTTCAGCAAGCATAAATATTACTCGAAAAAGATATAAAATGTTGAATTCATGCGATTTTTCATGATGAGAAAAATATCATAGTAAAACATAAATGTTAAAAATGCGCACACATACCACCTGACATTTTAATGGTGGAAAAATGAATTGTGACAGAAGATGGACACGAAGATTCATCTACACATGATAATGTCATAACGAACCAACAAATGCTCTGTTGCAAGGAAAGAACATTTATAAGGAGTAAGTAACAATGTTTGCGCAAGACATTTTTGTTTTGGTTTTTTTGGGTAAGGATACATGTGATATGAACAATAAAAAAAGTATGTACAAGTTCAGGTATATCATTCTTTCCATGAAATTTTTTTACATAAAAAACATTTTCTGATATAAAAACATTTTATACCAAAACCAATGGAGATAAGAGAGAGAATCTGGAAAGCAGTAAACAAATTCAACTTCTCTCTCTATATCAACACACACATATATATATATAATATAATCACTAAAAAAAGATATACTACTCTTTTATAACATGATATTAATCTGAAAACAAAGCCTTCAGAAATCCTATGAAATGGACAGACCCTACAATAATTTGGTCGTGACTGGAAAAGTCCCAATACATTTCACTTCATCCTTCACAACCTCTGTCAAAGTTCAAGTTCAACAAGCATTTCGGAATGAATTTAGTTTTCATAATATTCTAATAAACTAAGAGAAAGTGAAATCCAATGTTAACAGGCAACTATCTAAATTGTCAGGTATAAAGGATAAGAATGGTAAAAAGAACAGATCTCTAATAATACTCATTAATGTTGGAGCTTCCTGAACAACATATATCTAGAATAATTGTTAAAGATTAGAACAAATTAACCAGCTAATGTGTCTGTCATGCCATGGATTGCGATATTGTTGGTAGTACCAAAGGATTCCGTTCCAAATTAGGGCATGATGAGAAGTCAAATTAAACTTTCAGATCAACAGATTCCCTAAAAAAAAAAAAAAAAAAAAAATAACAGAGAAAAGTAAAGAAAAATTCAAAGTCCAAAACAAAAAAGTTCAAACAATCAAACATAGGAAGTTAGGAGCACACCTTGTTTAGACTTTAGAAAGCTGTAAGGAGGAGGCAAGGAGCTATCCAAGGCTTTCGTGATGTCCAGTGGTCGGGGGGCAAGGAGCTAGGGATTTCACGAAGAGAGTCGTCTACCGACTCTGCAGAAATAAAGCTAGGGCTTTGTAACTTTCCTACTAGTGCACATTGACAAATATGGTAATTTCATAATTTAAATTAAAAAATAAATATACACAGGTAATCAAAATCAGAAGGCGAACAGTTACTAACCTAAAAAAATTCTCGTCCGATCTGTTAGTGTAGACTAGGTTTTGGAAACCCCCATCGATGACTCTTTCTCTGTGTGTATGTGACTTTGTCTCTCTAAACCTAGCCACCAGTTTTGGAACGCTGACCGGTGATTGAAGGAGAAAGAGCTGTGATGACCGGTGATGGAAGGAAAGAGCTGTGATGACCAGTGATGGAAGGGCGAGACCGGTGATGGAAGGGAGAGAGAGTTGTGATGGAAGGAGGGAGAGCGGCTGAAGGTGTTAGGGTTATTGCAAAATGAAATGGGAAAGGGGAATAAAGTGTTAATTGGCTCTCAAAAACGAAGTAGTTTAGGGCCCAAAATCAATGGAGGGAAAAAAATAGAGGAAAAAAAAAAAAAAAAAAGGAGGGAAGGGAAAAAAGGCTAAAGACTTAATACTAGCGCTCCTAAAAAGAGCGTTGGTACAAAAGACCCAATACCAGCACTCCTTTTAAGAATGCTGCTACTAAAGACCCAATACCAGTGCTCCCACAAAGAGCGTTAAAACTAAAGACCCAATACCAGCGCTCCTAATGAGAGCGTAGGTACTAAAGACCCTATACACCCTATAACGGCGCTCCTAAAAAGAGCGCTGGTAATAGTGCACCTACACCAGCGTTCTTCAAAAGAATGTAGGTAAAACCCCAATCTATTGTAGCGGCTCCAAGCCCTTGGACGAGCGCTCATGGTACTGTTCACTTGTGTGTGTGTGTGTGTGTGTGTGTGTGTGTCTTGGTTCAGCATTGCACCTATGACTTCAAGTTGATGTATCTCCTTCGTTTCAACTCTGATTAGGTCTGATCTTGAGTCTACATTGATTGTGTTGAAACAAGCTTTCCAATGGTATCAATTGCAGTTTTAGATTCCATTTGTGGCACAAGATATTCAAGTTTTAGTGAAGTAGTGTCAGGATTTGGTTCGAATTAGGATAGGATTTCTCTTCCTTTGACTACAAGACTTGATATCTTTGCCGTTCGGACTCCGAATCAAGTGATTCTTGAGTCATCTTTATTATTTTTTTGTTTCCTTTCCAATGGTGTGTACGATGGTACCCATTTCAATTTAAAATGACCATTTTGCCCTTGGTTCTTTCCTTAGAGGGTTTTGAAACCCTAACACCGATTTTCTTCTGTTGAGTCACAGGACTCTTCAGAAAGTCATTCTTGTGTCTTAGGGATGATGTACATCTCTATAGACTTGTTTCTGTTTAGCTTCCGTATTTTGGATCCTTTTCGGGTCATCACAGGACATATTGGGTTGTAAAATCCAGGGTCGTCACAGGTGTTATCAGAGCTCCTAGGTTTGAATACCTTGGACGACGAATTTTGGGTGCATTTCATACTTTTGTTGATTTGTTTTGATGTGTTCACATGCTTTTTGATAATATGTTTACGGGCCTTTTGATAACATGCTCGGTGTGATTACATGTTTTCTGTACTTATACAATTATGTGTTTAAAAAGCATCCTAGTTGATACATGCTTATGTGTTTAAGTACCTAGACATTTTCATTTTCTGTTTAGCATGTTATGTATGCGTATCTGCTTTAGCATGATTGTATGTTGCATACATTAACGTGCTACTTATTTGATACATTCACTGAGCGATTTGCATTCAATCATAATAACTCGTGTTATTATTGATCTCATTTTCCTTTTCACACATATAGCATCACAGTCTTGACTCACGGAGAGTCTTCTCATTAAGGCTTAGGTGAGCGTAGGATTGTAGTCTCTGTCTAATGAGATGAGACATAGGCCACGGAGGCACCGTTTCGTCTCATTTTCTTTTGTCCTTTCGTAGTGTAGTCATGATAGAGTGAGAGGCATTGGTGTTATCTCTTAGGACTTCATAGTGGTCATTAAGGTCTTTATTTCTAGCGTCATGGGACGATGAGTCAGGATAGACTCAAATCCTTCCTCGGGGAGTTGAGAATTTGCCTTGTGAGCCTCAAGGTGAGGTGCTCGTGTCTTGTTTTCTTCGGATGATAGTTTTAGGATTTGGATAGGTGTGATAACCTAGAATCCTTCTTGTGTTGACTTGGACAGCTCTTGCGAGCTATGGTTGTGATGTGAACGGTTTCGTGTAATTAATTGTGTTGGTGCAATTAATTACTCTCCCTTGTCTTTGGAGACTTGGGGTGTTATGTTAGGCTATGGTAGAATCCTGTAGAGTTCCTATTGAACTCATTGGCATTGGATTGGGGGTTCTCTTGTTGATGTCTCGTAATTGTTATCATTATCCATTTCGTTGTTGTCTTGTTTTGTGTAGTGTTGGGATTCCATTGGGGTATGGGTTGGTCTTGGGAAAGACTTGCTGACGCTATGGCTCGAGGACTTAGTGGTCGTTGGGGGGGGGGGGGGGGGGATGATTCCTTTCCTCGTGGTGAGAGATTGGATTCGTCCAAGTTTTGTGATACGCTTTCTGCATAGTGTCTTTTGAGAGGCATTCCATTTATTTCTTTTAATTTTACGAACTTGCCATTTGTATGATCATTTTTACATGTTTATGAGCCCATTGTTTTGGGGCGTGTCTTAGAAACATGTTTAGGATGTATAACTATGTGGTAGTTATATGAGGATGTAGATGATACGTTTTCTTATACATTTATGTCATTTAATGTTTGCGAGCATGCACTATGTGAGTATTTATTTTATACTGTTTCATCTTTCCTAAACTTATGTTGGGGTTTTGTGACTGTGGTTGTTGGGATAGGGACGTGTGAGCTACGTAGTAGACATGTGTTTTGAGGATTTTAGTTGTCCAGTATAGGAATTTTGACCCAGCGTTTTGTCTTTGTATGTAGCCTTACGGTAGGTCTACTTCAGATTTGTGCTTAGGTTTTCGGTTTTATGGGTGGCTTGAGGGCACGGACTTGTCAGGTTATGGATTCAGGACTGGTGTTATTGTGTCGTAGCATTTCCAGATGTGGGGGTTGTTAGAGATTTAAGGCCTTAAGCGTAACGGTGCCAATGACATTGTTGTTTGAGTTTTGGGATTAGCTACCCCCACTCTCGCGAATGCTTAGTTCCCATAGTGTTTTTGGTAATCATTCTTGACATTGACGTCATTTGTAACGAAAAGGTTCTTTTTGGGTTGACCTGTTGTGGCATGTTATGAACTAGTACCTTATACTGTTATGCTACTTTATTGACGAGTAAGTGTGGGCGGGTTCTAGTCATTGTTCATACTGTTATATCATTCTTAGCCATCTGTCTTGATTTAACTTGTCGTTGTCTTGGGGATTCTCTCGGTGATTGACTTTGGGTTAATATGCCGATTCATTTGGGTGGTGTTATGAAGTTCTTTGTTTTCGCGTTCCTTCGGATGATCTTCAAGCTTTTGGAGTTAACCTTATGATCTGTCCTTCAGTTTGACTTTGCTTTAACCTTGTTCGGTTTTCTTTTGTCTGTTCTGAATTTCGGGGACGAAATTCCTTTAAGGAGGGTAGGTTGTAATGACCTAATCATTTTCCTTCCTTCCCTTTTTCCTCAAATTTCACGGATATTTTTTTTCCGTTCATCTTTTCTTTTCCGAGTTCAGTTTCTTGTCATTTAGTGCCATCTTGAGTGCTCGATAACGGTTTCCGAGACTCTTTCTTTTGGATTGACAACTTCCTTTAAGAACGGAGTCATTTCCACATTTTCACTTTTGTGACACTATTCACTTTTGTTTTTTTCCCGTTCTCACTTTGTTGGCAAAACCTCACTTTTCGTTTTTGGATTTGATTCCGATTTTGCATGCATCCACAATATATAAATTCCATGCCATGTGTAAAATTTTGTAGAAAAACATGCTAGTTGCTTACTTTTACGTAAAGAGGTATGGATACATACTTCTTTGCATTTTTTCTTTCTTTTTGGGGTTTTAGTGTAATTATGTAAAGTAATTATTTTTTTACTTAGGGACCATTTTGCAATTTGATTTGAAGGATATTTTCAAAAATAACCTTTTTGCAATTTTTGAAAAGTGTGACATTTGTCACACTCTCATGGAGCCACTTGTTGGCATTGGGGTTGAGAGACTTGGAGGCATCATATTATGACATTTGGAGGGTGGAGATACACCCACTTGTTAGCCTATGATTGGTGCACTTGTTGGCTTGGATGGTTGATAAGTGTAGGCTTAGGATTAAGCCTACAACGGATTCTTGGATGAGTGATAAGTGTATTCTCCAAATTAAGTCTTGCAATTATTTTTGGGTTACCTTGGAATTATGTTGTTAAAGAAAGGCTTTTGTGCAATTGACTAAACTAGTGTGTGTTGACCTTGGTGTAAGACCACATAGTGAGTGGAGAATTTCTATTTCCTCCACTCACATTCTTTCACACTTGGTTTCATCATCTCCCTTTCTTGTAAAGAAAACCTTAGCCTCCACAGATGGAGCTTGGAGCTTTAGGCTTTAACCTTCATTTTTGAGAGCTTTCCACTGATTTCAAAGCTTGACCATGGGAATGGTTTTTGGTCCCCTCATCTTCCTCTTCATAACCCTAGAAGGGTTTAGCTTGCCTTGGAATCAAGATTAACAATCTTCTTGCGAGGTAGGGGGTGTTTTAGGATTTTGTATATGTTGCATTGAGTGTTTTTCATGATTATACAACTTGTTTGCATGCCTAGTATCAAATCTAGAATATTAGTAATATTTATATCTTTGTATGAGATTTATTTTACTGGGATGCATATAGCTTAGAATTGAATTTTTGGCATGAGGATAAATTATACTTTGATGTGCTTGTTAACATATATTAAATTGAAATTATTTGAATAAGAATTGTACTTTTTATTTAATAATTATCTTTTGTGAAAGTTTAATTCTCATGGATGTACCTTGCATGAAATTAACTTGTGTTATGCTTTTAAATTAAGTCTTGGCATGTTCATTAACATACTTTAATTTGAGAGCATTTGGATAAGTATGAAAATCTAGAGATTTTAATTAAAATAATTAATTAAAATCTATTTAATGGTTCCATTGGCCTAATTAAGTTTTTAACTTGATATTTGTGATGACTATGACTTGCATACTAGCATATGTTAATTTGGGACCATTTGATGTTGTTTTAGAATTTAGGGATTTGATTATCATGATTTAGTTAAATTCCATTTTTATTGTTCAAATAGCCTAATCAAGTTTTTGAATTGGTATATGCAATCACGATGCTATGTTGTTTAACATATGTTAATTAGAGGCCATTTGGTTGAGATTTGAAACTTAGAGAAATTAATTAGTTTACTTGATTAATTTCCATTTCTATTGCCTTATTGATTTAAATCATGTGTTTGACGTTGGTATTATGTTTAAAGTATGATTTTAGACTTGTATTAGATTCTTCAGTTCATATTTTCAATATTGAATTATATTGTTATAGCGTGTAATAAATCGCATACTTAAGATTCGACATGTGATGTTATTATAGCGTGTAATGAATCGCACTCTGAAGATTCGACATTGTCATCTTATAGTAGTTGTGGATTTAGAGCATGTATTGTGTGGTTT